CACCTGAAAAACAATAACAGATACAACCCACGTCAGCACACACGCATTTTATAGCATCACATCCAATGATTATAAAAATTGAATGAGACCAAATTATATCTCATCTAGATGACACTATTAGGAAAAGGGCTATAGATGAAATGGACACTAATGGCACACCAGACATGTGGTGCGCCACTACTATATACTAATGGCGCACCATGTGTTGGTGCGCCATTAGTGTCCAAATACTAATGGCGCACCACATCCCTGGTGCGCCATTAGTAACAATTTTTTTTTCAAAACAAGTAATGGCGCACCAGGGGATAGTGCGCCATTACTAGTTAAACTAGTAATGGCGCACCACATCCACGGTGCGCCATTATCTAGTAATGGCGCACCACTCCCACGGTGCGTCATTACTAACTTGGCCCAAAAATTCCACCGAATGCAACCACCCCCCAACGTGGACTGCCTTTTCAGTATTAAAAAAATAAAAGAAATGATAAAAATGTCAAAAAATGAAAGAAAATAAGTTTCCCATGTGATATGTGGTCTATTTGTTGGAAAAATTTACAAATATGAATTTCGACTTTATTTGCAAAATCTCTCTGAAAATTTGTAAAATGGGCATAACTTTTGCATACGAACTCAGATTAAAAAGTTTTTTATATGGAAAATCATCTACTCGAAAAGTTACATCCAAATTTAACCGAGAGGACCCCGTTAAACATTTTCAAAATCCCCAAAAAGCTATCAGAAAAAAAGTTACGGGGCTTTCAAGATCTAGAGGCAAAAAAAATTCAAAAAATTTCAAATTTACTAGTGACGCACCGTGGATGTGGTGCGCCACTAGTAACAGAAAAAATTGGTTATGAATTTTTTTAAAAAAAATTTCTTTCAAAAAATGATACGTAATATGACTGAAAGTATTTTTTAAAATTTCATCATAGTCATGAACATGAACAAAGTCCTAGACATCAACAAGGTATAATAGGATTGATATGCTAAATATATCAACAAGTGCTTGTGAACTAAGCTGTTGTTGGGGTTGGATAGAACTCTGAAGTTAAGCGTGCTTGGGCTGGAGTAGTATGAGGATGGGTGACTTTTTGGGAAGTTTGACCTGAGATTAAGCATATTGATCCAAGATTAAGGCATAGCCACCTGGGATTAAGAAAAAAACGAAAAAAAAGTTTTGAAATTTTTTTAAAAAAAATTCTGAAAAAGAATTTGAAAAAAAATTATTACTAATGGCGCACTTCTATGTGGTGCGTCATTAGTATACCAGATACTAATGACGCACCGTGGGCTATACTAATGACACATCTAATGACGTGGTGCTAGTGGCGCACCTGTAGTACGTCATTAGTAGCGAAAACAGGTGCGCCACTAGCAGCCCTTTTTCCAGTAGTGTGAGTTCTAACAAAACTGTTTGCAGAAAGCATCGTCAGTTTGTACGTGTGTGGGCAGCGCGTGGCCGTGCCGTAGTGTGTGTGCGTTATGTATCTGGAATGCTCCGCTACGTCCGGCATCAAATTGGCTCTCGATTCCGAGCGCATCCGGCCTCGTCCTCGACACCCTCGCGGCTTCGCACGCGCCATGAAGCGCCTAGACACCAGCGCACAGACTGCCGCAACCTGGGATTAAGAAAAAAACGAAAAAAAAGTTTTGAAATTTTTTTAAAAAAAATTCTGAAAAAGAATTTGAAAAAAAATTATTACTAATGGCGCACTTCTATGTGGTGCGTCATTAGTATACCAGATACTAATGACGCACCGTGGGCTATACTAATGACACATCTAATGACGTGGTGCTAGTGGCGCACCTGTAGTACGTCATTAGTAGCGAAAACAGGTGCGCCACTAGCAGCCCTTTTTCCAGTAGTGTGAGTTCTAACAAAACTGTTTGCAGAAAGCATCGTCAGTTTGTACGTGTGTGGGCAGCGCGTGGCCGTGCCGTAGTGTGTGTGCGTTATGTATCTGGAATGCTCCGCTACGTCCGGCATCAAATTGGCTCTCGATTCCGAGCGCATCCGGCCTCGTCCTCGACACCCTCGCGGCTTCGCACGCGCCATGAAGCGCCTAGACACCAGCGCACAGACTGCCGCAACCTCAAGCTCGTCGCCCCCGTGAGCCGTGCTCCGGCGGCTGTAGTAGCAGCCCGCGTCATCGCCCCTACTTCCCTGCCTCTACACCGCGCCAATGCGCCGGCACTTTTCTTCTCTGTTTTTTTGTTGTGAAAAGATCCCCACTTTTTAGTTGTGCAATTGTTGGCATTCTTTGCTGACTTGGCACTGTCAGTCAATGGTCAACATGGTCAAAACCGGTTGACCGACACAAAACCAAGACCAGGGTTGAGTTCTGAACTTTGAGGTTAGTTCGAGGTGTATTTTGTCCGGTTTTTGAAGTTCGGGGTTGTAAATCAAACCGTGTGATTAGTTCAAGATTGAAACGTGAACTTTTCTCATCCGAATTGACTTGGCCAATTCCTCGCGATGGCTGTCGGCTCCGCCCTAGTTGCTGCTCTCTAACGTTTCTTCCTGAGGATCAGCCGGATTATCAACTGGAGGGGGAGGCATTGAGCGCATTTGGCGAAACTCCTGCATGACAAAGACAGATTGGTGATCAGTCGGATAAGAGAGGATGCAAGATCACGGCTAATGGGAATTTACCAATGGGGTGTTCAGTTGCGCTGTATGGCCAGACCGGACCTTCTCTGCCAAGGTTTCCACGCATCACTTCATCTTCATCCACCAGCCAACCGCCGGATCATTCCTGACAAGCCCTCGGCCTTGAAGCACACCCATCTTTTTCTTGAGCGTGTCCACTTCCCTCGACTCCTCCATGGTGACGCTCAGATTCCACCAAGGTTGTTTGACGACTGGGCCGGCGGTGTACGGCGGCAATCCTTCTGCATCGTGTTGAAATATATTGTCCGCCTCCCTCCATCAGTTCGGACTTTCGGATGAGTTGGCTGGAGCATGAATTCAATATAGTATCAGAGCCAAGAGGTCATGAGTTTAAGATCCTGCCAACGCAATATTAAATAAGACGATCCCGCGGCCTACATCGACCCCACGTCTAAGGACTAAAATAGCCTAGACGTGAGGGAAAGTGTTGAAATATATTGTCCGCCTTCCTTCATCAGTTCGGACTTTTGGATGAGTTGGCTGGAGCATGAATTCAATACACCGGTCGGATTTGGCAAGTCAACGAAATAGAACCAAGTCTCTTGCCAACGGTCCACCTTGTCGGGCCAGCGCATGTCAAAGTAATTGTTCTTCTTCAATTGCAATCCAAGTCCTCCACAGAGCTGCGTATAGCATAAAACTAACAGTTTTCGCGTTATGCTTCTAAAAAACCATGAAAATAAATTGTTTGTCACTGATAACTACTACTTTCGGTGTCGACTGTTTCAGAAAACCCAAAACACCGAGTGCTTGGCAATTGATCATGATTATGACCGTTGGGGCCTGCTCCTAAACAAACAGTTCGCTTGACCGTTTAGCTTGACCGTTAACTGACATGTGAGGCCCACATGGCAGTGTCTCTTCCTCATATTTTAACATATATATTTTTGATAAAAAAGCAATCAGGTCCCCACAAACATTTTAAAAATGCAATTTGGTCCCTGCAAATATTTCAGAAAAGCAATCGGGTCCCTGCAAATATTTCAGAAAAGCAATCAGGCGCCTACAAACATATTTTGAAAAGCAATCAGGCCCTTGCCATGGCCGTCCTCAAGATCGAGCTCCTCCAGTCAAACTTACCATTGCTGCAGCCGTGATGCGGGCGGCCACGGAGGGAGCATCTCGGCGGCCAGCTCCTGCCTGTGCTACGGGCGGCCGCACCCTGCCGGTGAACCCCTTCTCCTCCCATGTCGCATCCATGGCCGTAATCAGGGGCATCCGTGTCGGAGAAGGCAGGGTGAGGGAGGAGCTCGAAGGAGCCGCACCTGAGGCCGAGGCCGCCGGCTGTCCATCCGTGGGCCACACGCAGGGGATCGTTAGTGTGGATGGCGGCGCAGGCGGCTGCCGCTATCGAGGCTCCTTGGGTGACCTCCTCAGGGACGCCGTGGCCACCGGCGGGGTGGGCATGCGAGGGGAGGGGAGCGGGTCGCCTATAGGGTGGTCACGCGAGGGGAGGGGAGCGGGTCGCCTGCAGGGTGGTCACGCGAGGGGAGGGGAGCGGGTCGCTAGCGGCGCTCAAGAGAAGAGAGGGAGTACAAGGGACAAGAAGAGAGAACGAAAGAGAAGAAGAAGAAAGAAGCTGACATGTGGGCCCCACATGTCAGCTAACGGTCAAACTAAACAGTCAACAAACGGTTTGTTTAATTAGGAGCGGGCCCCAACTGTCATAACAGCGATCAATTGCAAAGCACTCGTCAATTTGGGTTTTTTGAAACAGCCGACGCCGAAAATGGTAGTTATCAGTCACAAACAAAATTTTGGTAGTTTTTTGGAACCATAATGCAAAAAGTGGTAGTTTTATGCTATTCACTCTCCACAGAGCTGCGTGATTGCGGGATCTGCCGGCTTCGGTTTCTTCAGCTAGCGTTTGCAACTTCGCACAAAATATGTGCTTCCACAATCCCCACAGAAAATAAATCCCTATGCTTCCCAGCAAAATGTCGCCCCCATGTACCAAACAATTCATCTCCGTTTCCAGGCAAAGTTCTGGACGAAAAGTCAAGAGTTAGTCACTCTCCATACAGCCACAGAGAGATCTTAATTTTCGAAGAAAGTTTACACGGATACAGTATGAGAGCAGTATAAACATTAGAGCTTGTAGTACTACCTTATACATGACACACCTAGTGAAAATCCAAATCGGTATCGTACTAATAGTTTCGGTGGGAGTCACAAATTGGCGAAAGAGATGAGATTACATTCTTCACCAGCAGCATAAGACTGAAATTGAAATGGAGTTGCAAATTCAACGCACACAAGGACAATGGAATTACAGATACTGGATTCGAGGATGAGAACAGCTTCGCATATTGTTGACACGCTCTATGGGTCAGGGGATTTCGGTGACCTCTTCGTTGCAGCCATTGTCCACATACAGTACGACTTGGGGAGTGGTAGTAGTAAGAATACGAAAAATACTAGAAGGAGACGATATGTCATCAGCTTCTATGGACGGCATTGGTTTCTTGTATATAAGAGAAGAATATTTAGTGAGGAGTAGGATGTGGGTCAGAAACTCACCACCATTGCTCAGCTGCCTGGCGTGGAATCCCCCAGATGCATTGGTTGCTACGTAGCACAACATCTCCATCCACACTGTTCCAATTATCGCCATCTTGTGTGCGAGCCCCAATTTCATGACGAGCATTGTGTGAGCAAGGGTGCATGCTTTCATCAGCACATCATCCTCTTCTGCAAGCATCTTGTAATCCAGAATTACCTGACGCCCACCCTCATCAAAGCCGTCTCTCTGACGACAGAAAGGGAAATTTCTACGGGTTTGGTCAAGCAGGTCTCGAGCAGCTGGTTTCTTGGGCAAAATGTCAGGGTGCTGGACGAGAAGGTACATCATGTACTGAGAGAGAGTATTGACTTCTTGAGCCATTTTCTTGTTGACCAGCTTCTCGACGGTAGGGTTATTGAGGAACGTGCTTGTGGCTATATACCAGATAAGCATGCTTTTATGAAATTCAAAACTCAGGCTGCAATCGAGGTCATGTTCGCTCTGGTCAATGCCCTTGAACCTGCGAGCCCAGTTCCCACTTCGGAATTCCACTTCTTCAATTTCAACCAGATGACTCTTAGTACCTTTGAGGAAGTCCCAAACGAACTCCTTCAGGGTAGGCGAAAGCTCGACATGCTTTGTGTAGCAAGCTTTCTTCCACAAGTCCCGGGCCCCAATCAAAATGGCTATTATTTCCTTGAGGTCGAACTTGCTGCTGCGAACACAAGAAGATATGAAGTCAAATTGCCCGACGGAATTGGACCACCTTCCATCCTTGACGACGACAAGGTGGGACCGTGCAAAAAGAATCGCATCGGCCAGTCGATACCATCCGTGGTCTATCAGGACAGCAAATGCCCAGGTCGACCCAATCGCCTTGAAAACAGATGCCACCTCCATTGCGCAAGCTCCGCCCAGAAGAGCAAAAGTGATCACAATGTCGGTTGTGGTGTAGCTATCTCTTTTGCTCTTTGTGAAGACCACAAGAGCGGCAAAGCAAGACAGAAATGAAATGGCACGGGTGCAGTAGCCACTGCATGTGTGGATCACTTCTGCCTTGGTGTACAACATGTCGTACATCAGGCCGAGCTCCACCTCTATTTCCGTGCACACCTCGCCAATTTGCCTCTTCTCCTCTTCCGATGCAACTTTGCTCTTGTCGTCGTCCCATTGATATCCTTGCCCATGACCCTTTAGTAGGGCCATCTCGTCACAATTCCAATTTATGGACGCCTCATTCCTGTCTATGATTAAAGGCTTGACAAGTATAAGGCACAACATGTGTGCTTTCGCTACAATAAATGCATAAATTCCAAACTTTTTGTTTTTGGTGATGCTGTATCTTCCATTCATCCACGCCGGAGGTGACGGCCTGGAAGGGTACTCTCTCCTTAGGACGCACGCATAAAGGTTACACAGAATATTCCAACCACTCGGACCACGAGCAGAACCTTTCTTGCTTGCAAGCTTCAATGCCCGTATCCTCTCGACGTACTTGAAAACTCCGGCGGCCAGAACCCACATAGCGGCACGGGCAAAGGTCGCCCCGCCTGCTTTGATGTACTTGTACAGCACATACGCGGTGCCGGCGACCTGCACAAACATGTTTAGCAGGTGGCGCAGCCAGAGTTCATTGTCCTCCAGGGCATAGGCGGTGATGGTGTCCTGGCCGCCAAGGTGCAGGACGAGGAATGGCGCCCAGAACGGCATCAGCTGGTTCGATTTCTTCGACAATGACGAGGACATGTGCCCCAAGGCATATGCTGCAATGACATCGGCGAGCAGATACACCAGCCAGAGGAGGGCCTTGACAACAAACGAGGTGTTGTAGCGGCGGATGCCTGCAAAGAAGAAGAGGATAACCTGCAGACTGAAGCTGGCAACTATAACAACTTGGATCTCCCACTCATTCCAGAGTTCCAGCAAATATTGCATCGGTGCTCCAGCTTCACCCATCCTACAAGTATATATGTCACAGTATATACAGCTTGAAGAAATAGTAGTACACGCGCCAATGAATAAATGCATACCTGTGAGTGAGCTAGATTTGGCTTACGGCAGCAAAGCTACAACACAGAAGCTCACAAAATTGCTAGGTAGGAGGGAGAGCTCAGGAGTGGTAATGAAGAATGGGAGCATCCGAGAGTCGTGTGCATATGCTTATATAACCTAAAACAAACCACCCAGATCCGGTTATTCCTTTCCGAGTAACAAGTTGAGTAGCCTGCGCGAGCATCTTTGTTATTTTTATGACAGCTGTTTCCTACTTTTTTAAAGCGATTCTTATAAGATTCTCTAACAGCTGTTTCCTATCTTTTTCTTTCTTGCTATATCTCCAAACTCGGTGGTTGACTTCAGTATGGTGAGAGATGCATACGACCGACGATGCCTTGATACAAAGGGATGGTTGTGTAGCAGCGGCGGTCAGACATCTCGCATGTAGCTACTCGGATCACGGAAAAGTGGCGCTAATGGTGGTGCCACTCGAGCACCTGGTCTCGAGCTTCATGATGAAAGCCTAGGTTCGTTTATACCTGGCAATGGCGATGCTTTTACGTTGTTAACTTGTTGAAGGCATTACATGGATATGTTCGGACTGGTTCTTCAGGGTGAAAACCTAGATTCAAGCCTTAGGTAGTTGGATCTGGTGATGGAGGTGATCGAGTGCCAGTCCCTTCCTGAAGGCATTTTGCTATTGAAGAATATCATCGGTCGTGTGGCGTCATGAGATTGTTGGTGCTGATATGGTCATGCTTGTAGTTTGCCGATCATGGATATGATCGTTTTTCCCCTTACTGAGCATAGCTTTGGTCTTGTATACTTTGCTATTTGCCGCCGTATTTTATGTGTGTGTGTGTGTTGATTTTGGATGTGTTATGCAGATGACGGGTATGTGCTTTTTGTGTTTGTATCTTTCTGATGCTTTATTTTGAGCTAATAAAACTAACACTTTGTCAAAAAAAAATCTCGAAACAAGTTTTCGTCGTGCTTTATATATGAAACAACAATGAAACAAAATACACGGTCGAACGATATAAGGTGGTGAGGTTGTTGGAAATATGCCCTAGAGGCAATAATAAAAGTATTATTATTATATTTCCTTGTTCATGGTAATTGTCTTTTATTCATGCTATAACTGTATTATCCGGAAATCATAATACACGTGTGAATACATAGACCACAATATGTCCCTAGTGAGCCTCTAGTTAACTAGCTCGTTGTGATCAACAGATAGTCATGGTTTCCTGGCTATGGACATTGGATGTCGTTGATAATGGGATCACATCATTAGGAGAATGATGTGATGGACAAGACCCAATCCTAAGCATAGCACAAAGATCGTGTAGTTCGTTTGCTAGAGCTTTGCCAATGTCAAGTATCTCTTCCTTTGACCATGAGAGCGTGTAACTCCTGGATACCGTAGGAGTGCTTTGGGTGTATCAAACGTCACAACGTAACTGGGTGACTATAAAGGTGCACTACAGGTATCTCCGAAAGTATCTATTGTTTTATGCGGATCGAGACTGGGATTTGTCACTCCGTGTAAACGGAGAGGTATCTCTGGGCCCACTCGGTAGGACATCATCATAATGTGCACAATGTGACCAAGGGGTTGATCACGGGATGATGTGTTACGGAACGAGTAAAGTGACTTGCCGGTAACGAGATTGAACAAGGTATCGGTATACCGACGATCGAATCTCGGGCAAGTAAAATACCGCTAGACAAAGGGAATTGTATATGGGATCGATTGAGTCCTTGACATCGTGGTTCATCCGATGAGATCATCGTGGAACATGTGGGAGCCAACATGGGTATCCAGATCCCGCTGTTGGTTATTGACCGGAGAACGTCTCGGTCATGTCTGCATGTCTCCCGAACCCGTAGGGTCTACACACTTAAGGTTCAATGACGCTAGGGTTATAAAGGAAGCTTGTATGTGGTTACCGAATGTTGTTCGGAGTCCCGGATGAGATCCCGGACGTCACGAGGAGTTCCGGAATGGTCTGGAGGTAAAGATTTATATATGGGAAGTCCTGTTTTGGCCATCGGGACAAGTTTCGGGGTCATCGGTATTGTACCGGGACCACCGGAAGGGTCCCGGGGGCCCACCGGGTGGGGCCACCTGCCCCGGGGGGCCACATGGGCTGTAGGGGGTGCGCCTTGGCCTACATGGGCCAAGGGCACCAGCCCCTAGAGGCCCATGCGCCAAGATATAGGAAAAAGGGGAGAGTCCTCAAGGGGGAAGGCACCTCCGAGGTGCCTTGGGGAGGATGGACTCCTCCCCCCCTCTTAGCCGCACCCCTTTCTTGGAGGAAGGGGCAAGGCTGCGCCTTCCCCCTCTCCCCTGCCCCTATATATAGTGGAGGGGAGGGAGGGCATCCATACCTGAGCCCTTGGCGCCTCCCTCCCTCCCGTGACTCCTCCTCCTCTCCCGTAGGTGCTTGGCGAAGCCCTGCAGGATTGCCACGCTCCTCCATCACCACCACGCCGTTGTGCTGCTGCTGGATGGAGTCTTCCTCAACCTCTCCCTCTCTCCTTGCTGGATCAAGGCGTGGGAGACATCGTCGAGCTGTACGTGTGTTGAACGCGGAGGTGCCGTCCGTTCGGCACTAGGATCATCGGTGATCTGAATCACGACGAGTACGACTCCATCAACCCCGTTCACTTGAACGCTTCCGCTTAGCGATCTACAAGGGTATGTAGATGCACTCTCCTTCCCCTCGTTGCTAGTCTCTCCATAGATAGATCTTGGTGACACGTAGGAAAATTTTTGAATTCTGCTACGTTCCCCAACAGTGGCATCATGAGCTAGGTCTATTGCGTAGATTCTTTGCACGAGTAGAACACAAAGTAGTTGTGGGCGTCGATATTGTTCAATATGCTTGCCGTTACTAGTCTTATCTTGATTCGGCGGCATCGTGGGATGAAGCGGCCCGGACCAACCTTACACGTACGCTTACGTGAGACCGGTTCCACCGACAAACATGCACTAGTTGCATAAGATGGCTGGCGGGTGTCTGTCTCTCCCACTTTAGTCGGATCGGATTCGATGAAAAGGGTCCTTATGAAGGGTAAATAGCAATTGGCATATCACGTTGTGGTTCATGCGTAGGTAAGAAACGTTCTTGCTAGAAACCCATAGCAGCCACGTAAAACATGCAAACAACAATTAGAGGACGTCTAACTTGTTTTTGCAGGGTATGCTATGTGATGTGATATGGCCAAAAAGGATGTGATGAATGATATATGTGATGTATGAGATTGATCATGTTCTTGTAATGGGAATCACGACTTGCATGTCGATGAGTATGACAACCGGCAGGAGCCATAGGAGTTGTCTTTATTTATTTGTGACCTGCGTGTCAACTTAAACGTCATGTAATTACTTTACTTTATTGCTAACCGTTAGCCATAGTAGTAGAAGTAATAGTTGGCGAGGCAACTTCATGAAGACACGATGATGGAGATCATGATGATGGAGATCATGGTGTCATGCCGGTGACGATGATGATCATGGAGCCCCGAAGATGGAGATCAAAAAGGAGCAAAGTGATGATGGCCATATCATGTCACTATTTGATTGCATGTGATGTTTATCATGTTTATACATCTTATTTGCTTAGAACGACGGTAGTAAATAAGATGATCCCTTACAACAATTTCAAGAAGTGTTCTCCCCTAACTGTGCACCGTTGCGACAGTTCGCTGTTTCAAAACATCACGTGATGATCGGGTGTTTTATTCAGACATTCAAATACAACGGGTGTTGACGAGCCTAGCATGTACAGACATGGCCTCGGAACACACGCGAAACACTTAGGGTTAACTTGACGAGCCTAGCATGTACAGACATGGCCTCGGAACACGGAGACCAAAAGGTCGAACATGAGTCGTATAGAAGATACGATCAACATGAAGATGTTCACCGATGATGACTAGTCCGTCTCACGTGATGATCGGACACGGCCTAGTTTGACTCGGATCATGTAATCACTTAGATGACTAGAGGGATGTCTATCTGAGTGGGAGTTCATAAGATGAACTTAATTATCCTGAACATAGTCAAAAGGATTTTGCAAATTATGTCGTAGCTCACGCTATAGTTCTACTGTTTAGATATGTTCCTAGAGAAAAATTAGTTGAAAGTTGATAGTAGCAATTATGCGGACTAGGTCCGTAAACTGAGGATTGTCCTCATTGCTTCATAGAAGGCTTATGTCCTTAATGCACCGCTCAGTGTGCTGAACCTCGAACGTTGTCTGTGGTTGTTGCGAACATCTGACATACACGTTTTGATAACTACGTGATAGTTCAGTTAAACGGTTTAGAGTTGAGGCACCAAAGACATTTTTGAAACGTCGCAAAACATATGAGATGTTTTGAGGACTGAAATTGGGATTTCAGGCTCGTGCCCATGTCAAGAGGTATAAGACCTCCGATGACTTTCTTAACCTGCAAACTAAGGAGAAAAGCTCAATTGTTGAGCTTGTGCTCAGATTGTCTGAGTACAACAATCATTTGAATCGAGTGGGAATTGATCTTCCAGATAAGACAGTGATGGTTCTCCAAAGTCATTGCCACCAAACTGTTAGAGCTTCGTGATGAACTATAACATATCAGGGATAGATATGATGATCCTTGAGGTATTCGCGATGTTTGACACCGCGAAAGTAGAAATCAAGAAGGAGCATCAATTGTTGATGGTTGGTGAAACCACCAGTTTCAAGAAGGGCAAGGACAAGAAGGGATACTTCATGAAACGGCAAATCAGCTGCTGCTCTAGTGAAGAAACCCAAGGTAAAACCCAAACCCGAGACTAAGTGCTTCTGTAATAAGGGGAACAACCACTAGAGCAGAATTACCCTAGATACTTGGTAGATAAGAAGGCTGGCAAGGTCGATAGAAGTATATTGTATATACATTGTGTTAATGTGTACTTTGCTAGTACTCCT